TTAATAAAATAAAATAGTGTCTGAATTACTGTAGTTTCTTAAGATATGCTAACGATTTTAAACTCTTTACCAATTCGTGATTTTACTGATTTTCTAGAACTATAACTACTATAAGAACGAGAAATATATGATTTATGTTTCGGATATACCGATTTTTTTCTTGAATACAGCTACAAACAAAACATGTAGCTACTACTGCAATTTTTTGACACTGTTATACATACCTCTGTCGTCATTTATATTAATATGAAATGTATTATCTGGACAAAATGGACAATGAATATTTTCCCTTTAGAAATTAAGGAAGTAATTAATGAATGCAGTGCAGTGCATCGGACTGAATTATCTTTTCGACGAATCATTTCCCTCTTGAGTACCGAATTTAATGGCAGGAAATTACCCCCCGAGCTTTTCATTCAAATACTTTTTTTGCCCCTTCATAAACTCCACAAAAATCCCGTTATCCATCACGATTTTAAAATGTCTCCCATCACACATTGTTATATCTGTTCTTAATCCCCACTATAAAGGACCCGCGCCCTTATTTAAAGGAGTCGCTAATCCTGAATCAATTTTGATAAGTACTCGAGACTCAACAAAGGACTGTGTTGAAAGCTGAATAAACTGCTTTGAATTTTTTCGCGAAATTACAGAGGAATTTGTCGCCCTTACATTGCTTTAAAATGATGAGCGTTGATTGTTTTGTTCTTATATTATAATAGTTTTGATATTTAATTCAAATTTAATGGAAAAATGTATAAATTTCTAATACCTATTGTTCTTCCATGATTTCTTCATTATCTGTACAGGGTGGTTCAGTCATAATGTCTTTAATTTTATCCACGTATTCGGAAGGCCCAATAAAGACAGAAAATCGAAAAAAACTCGACCTTTTAAAAAATAAGCAGATTACCCATTAACTCCCCTTAATTCAGCGCCCTACACATTTTATGACAGGAAACGTTGAAGAGAAACAGCTAATTTCCTAAGTCGTGTTGAATTTTGCAATTGGTTTCAAAAACAAAGTGCATCGGAATACAACTTATCAAAGTGCTATGGACGAAAGAGTATTTTTTTTAGCCGTACTGGCATTTTAAATACGTAGGCACCATACTACTCTTTGTAAAGCAGTCACTAGGTGTACGTATTACAAACTGAATAATTATATTATTTTATACATCACTATTTTTTTATAAGTTAATTTTATATAATTTAATCTCAATTATTTACATGACCTATGTTACCATTTCGAAGAAAATATACATTTCATATTTTTTAATCACGCATACAGCCTACATATTTCAAACAATTCATTAATTTGCATCCACCCACAAGTATTCTCAAATTAGTTGAAGTTAAATTATAATTACTTTTTTATTAAAACAGCCAGATATTAATTAATTTAATACTAATGAAAGCAACAATGTTTTAAACATCCAAGAAATAAATCTGCTGTTCTTGAAGCCCTATTAATTACAACAAAGTTAATGCTGCGAAGTCCTGAGTAAGATACAATTTAATTTTAATACGTACATTTTTTTAATAAAAGCAAGTAAAAAAATTTCATAATGTTCCGCCGGACTTCTTTCTCCTCTGCCATTGAACGAAGCGGAGTTATTCTTGCGTACGGAAATAAATAAAACTCTATAGGTATCTTTTAAAATGAGCTTTTAGTTTCCACTTACGTTCGTCCTCGAAACAAAGTCTTTGAGCCTCGTCAGCGTCGGTGAAAACGGGCCTCTAAATACAATTTCCTCTCTAGCTATCAAGCGTAACACGCCAAAACTTTCAGTTGAATGATTTTAATATCTACCCGACTCGACAGTTCACTCCGACAAACAATGCAATCGCGACGAAATAAATTTCTAGTCGAATTCGGGATAAATAACTAGAACAGGCACAAGTTAAATGTAATTGAAAAAGGATCTTGCAACGCATCGCCTTAGAAAGCGAGCTAACGAAATGAGAGGAAATGAGGCCTATTTGGCATTTCCATATTCTTCGTGGATAAAAAATAACGATATTTTGAAATCGCATAAACTTGACGGGTCTGTCATCGCAATGCTTCAATCAATTTAAAGTGAATCCCTTGAATGTTTAAAAGGTCTCGTACAGAAAAATAATTGTAGGAAAGCGCGTTCCTTTTTAAATCTAGATGTTTGATTCCTTATGTGAATTTATTCAGCACGATGTCCTGAATCCGCCTTCTGTACGTCATGTACGATTTACTCACGGACCTCGACTGGAACTACGTATTCATTACCGTACGTATGGTATTTAACATAAAAGATGAAAATATTAATGTAATAAATCAAGCGTCTGAATTTTTAAAAGCATAATAATATACGAGTATACCTCACGAACAGGTTTATTACAGTTGTACAGTGTGCACCGTGCTTTACAAAAAATAATTTTACTTTTAATGAAAAATGAGTTATTCGTGGACTAATAGTTAATAAATCCCACTTTTTCCACCGATGCAGCTGAGAAACAGGCACAAATTGAATGCAAATGAGGAAAGATCTCAGTAAATAAACCGAGCGTAGAGAGAAAAGTGCATGTATACGAAATAAAAGGAAATGAAGTCTGAGAAGTGAGACGAGCTTTGATTCTCAAAAACTTTACAAACACATAGGACGAATATACAAGTGGCTTCCGCAAACTTCCCCTTCGGGTCGCGGCTCTTTTTCAGAGCTTTGTGGCGGTACCGCAAAGTGAAACTATACGTTTCGCTGATTTAACCTTCTGAGGACGAGATAGCAGATAGGAGTTCCATCTAGGGCAGTTTTACGGCCAATTAGGCAGATCTTCAGACTGAGTTTTTGCTTTAACGTCAATAAAACCGTTCTTAATTCGATTAATCTTAAACGAATGTAAATCCCAGTAAAATAAGGACAGATTCTTGCTAAAAATATATACAGGGTGACTGATATATGTAGAAATGGTCGATTATCTTCTAAAGTAAAATAGCATCGAAAAATCTTAAGGCTTAAACGTTTTAGGGCTTTTTAAAATCTATTGCAATAAAGAAAAAATAAGTATACAGGATTCTTCTCAAAATTCTAAATAAAATTCGTATAGCACATCATATACCTACATAAAGTAAACGTTTTCGAGATATCGAACATTGAATGTGACTTTTACTACTCTTAAATTTATAAAAAAAAGGGCCTCCAATTATGAATATTTATTTTGAAAATAACAAAATATAAATATAATAGTTCTGGGATATTTTAAATTTTATGAAAATAATAGTTATGCCAGTTTTAATAAACAAAAAATATTTTCTTTGGAATTCTATTTTATAAGGGCTTGAAAGTGTTCACCAATTTTCCTCCTGACAGTAATGAATTCGCCGAACAAAATTTTATAGTGAATCTAAGAGTGTTGGGAGGAATATTGGAAATTTCATGTCTTATCCTTTCCTTCAACTCTTCGACAGTTGTAGGCTAAACTAAGGTAAAAAATTAAAAGGTCAAAAGAATTTCCGAAATTTTTCTGTGATTTTTGACAAACTGTATTTAGGTGAAAAATGGTCGTATCGGGAATTTAAAAAAAAAAGCTCTAAAATTCTAGTTTTTAGATCTTTCGGTCGAAATTTTTTAGGAGCTACGTTTATCATGCAATTCTAATAGCGCGACAAAAAAATTTTGTTAATTTTTTTCAGCTAACCCATTTCATGCACCAGATAGCTTGTTTATTCAGCTTCAATTTCAATTTTTTTTTTTTTTTTTTAATTTCTATACGACTATTTTTCATCGGAATATTGGACTTTTAATGGAAAAAAAAATCATCGATATCTCGGCGACAAATGGTCATACAGGGAATTAAAGGGCAGGAAAACTGGAATAAATTTCTTATAACATGCTGCCGCAACTTTTCAGAAAAAAATTATTTTTTTCATCTTTTACACGAATTTTAAAAATCAGGAAAAAAGGGTAATTTATGGTGTTTTAGAAAATTGGCGGCTAAATTAGAAATATTCACGGAATGACTAATGTTAAAAATGACTTTTACAGTTCGATATACCCAGAAGAACCCTGTGGAGTTTCATCTCGATCTAGCGAAACGTTTCTTTGTTTCAAACAGTCAAACTTTTGAAAAAAAATCAAAGGGTCACGTTTTTTTAGATTAAACACTTCATAATCATGATTGAAATGGAGAAAAATTTTTTTGAGGTTTTCTACATTTTTACCGAAAATAACGTTTAAATTGATGCAAAAAAAAATCGAGTTTTTTTTTGTTTTTTTTTTGGAAAACCTTCCGGACATTGCAGAAAACAACATCCAATTGTTTCCAGCACGATTCGGCTTTTCCGTCCTATGCTTCTGTTCATCAACTTTTAATTAAATTAAAATTATAGTTGATGACCCAAACCAGATTTCGACCAGATACCGTTTTTTTTTAAGCAAATTTCAGTTCGTTTTTTAAGTTTTACTCGAAAATCTGGCTTTTTTCGAAAAACATAAGAGAGTAGTAATTTGTAGAAAATTGAAAGACGAATTCGAAAATATCATGGTTGTTACCACGCATAATGCAGTGGTGTACTATTTTATTTGGAACAATACGCCACCCATACCCTGTATCTCCGCCACTGGAGCATAAATACATGTGCCCAATTTCAAATTATTTCCCTTACTAGTTTTTAAATTATTTAAAAAAATTTAAAACATTTTTTGAAGTTTAACAGTATCTGTATCTTATTAACGGAGTGTCCTAGATAAAAACTTTATAGGAAAGACTATTTGGTCACTTTTTGCAAATCACCCTGTATAATGTACATTTTGTTGGTAAAGTAGTTCATACTGTATTTCGCATAAACAAAAATTAATTTATCATATACTAAATAATATTAGTACCTACTAATCAATAATTAAATGTTTTATCATTGCCTTATACCTATTTATACTGGTAGTTAATATTTCTATATATTTCAAAGTTGTTAGAACGTTATCCGTGTGTTTCCGTACAAGTTTCTAACGTGAATAATTTGTTTCCAGAATGGAACAGTGTGTCCGGCCATGACAGGGTGAAAAGGCAACTGTCGGTTTCCAGTGATAGCAAGCTCCTGGATGACGACATCCGGGAGGAAACTAAAGTGATACTCCGGCCCAGGAAACCCCCCAGACCTAAATCAGAAGTTTTGCTCAATCAAGGCACCGACCACCGGAGGACGAAGCGCTACTCAGCGTTTGGGGTAAGTGGACACGGACAAAGTACAGAGTGTAGACGAAAGGAATCCCTTTGAAGTGTTTTGAAAGCAAAGTAAATATTTTGAACGCATTCTGTCGGAAAATAAATTCAATTTTTTGTAAAAATTGTCGATTCAAGCTGCTGCTATCTTATTACAATACAGTGGCAATGTTTAATCGAAAAGATATTGATAATTATTATCATCTACAACTATTTGTAGCAAGCGGTTTAAGTTAGAAGCAACAGTAAGAAATATCTAGTCATATATTTATTTATTCACACGGTCGATAGCCGCACCGTTTAAGGCGTCATTACTTAAATCGATGTGTGCTATCTGCCCAGGTTTCGAATCCCGCGGCCGGTAGACCGTAGATTAGCTATGCTTGTACGAAGGATTGGCACCCTCTGTGCAGGTATGGTAGGGTGGAAGAATGTTGGCTTGGGTCAATGTAAGTGATTGACACCGGTTGGCATTTGACCGCTCCCCTAATTAATAAGGTTTTCCAGGTTTCCCTCATTCCTGCACTGAATGGTGGTTAGGGCCTACCAACATAAGTCGTTCCTGGGCGCAAATACGGCCTGCGTATTAATAATATGCCGCCTCCTCTCCCGCACAAGTCTCCGACTTCTGGGCTAATTCTCGTAGTTAGAATGAGGAGTAGAGATATTATTATTATTCAAAATTTCAATTAGTAAAGAACTGGAATTCATTTTTTAATGGCATTTAATTACAAATGGAAGCGGAATATCTCGTTTTCCTTATGAATTCAATGAACCCTTTCTTTTACTCTTATTTTGTAACATTTTAGTAAAAATTAATGCCACGTAGGATATTAAATGTGCGGTACTCCTAAAAATGCAAATTCCTCCCCAAATTAAGTAGGATTTTTAGAAACAGCACACCCCCTGTATAACTATACAAAATGAAGTCACGTAAATAATCTACAATAGGGTTCCGAACCGCATTACTTCGTTTCCGGGTCGTTGGACAAAATGACTTTAATAGCACCGTAAGTGCCTCTACGTGATGTTTTACACTAACCGCCATTCGAAGGATATTTCTTTATTTAGTCGTGATACATTTCCCCACGCAAACCTATCTGTTAAATAAATTAGGTTTTCCAATTTAAAATAATTCGTCTTTATTTCAGTCTTTTTATGAGACAAATGTTTAAAATTGGATTTTATCAGAGATGTTCCAAAAGAGCCTACAATTAAATTATGCGATAAATTTCAGACTTCAATAAAGCTTCTTTGAAGCTACGAGGCTTTTATCAAATAATGTGTGAAGAAGTCCGCAGTTCAAAACATACACGTACAGGAAATGCTTTATTTTAATCAGACATTCGCTCATTTGTTAATATGACATCTTTAAAAAAACCGTACCTACATTCTTCATTTTTAAAAATTAAAAAAAAATGTTTTCCTGTGGAGTTATATAATTTTTAAAGTAAGTAAAACAACTTCCGGTCTAGACCGGAAATTGTAATATGGGCCCCCTCGGTGCCCTACAGTTTTGTCCGAAACTTTTTTCGAAATAATCGAGTCCAACCGAGATATTATTTTGTTTCAAGATAAATGCTCCACCCAGTATATGGAGAAATTAATGCAGTCACAAGTATAATGTATACTTTGGTCTAACATGTCCTTCCTACATTGAAAGATAAATCCATGTATACAGGGTGAGCTATATCTAACATCAGACACGAGAGTACTTTTGAAAAGAAACAGGGTTTTTCATACTAACATTTTTATCAGTTTCTCCTCAATTAACGAAAATTTTTTATATACTGATTTGTTCCAAAAAAAAAAAAAAATATGATTCAAACAAGTGTAACTGGTTTCAACCTTGTATTTAAATGTATATTTAACTTTGTCAACCAATTTATCAGCCTAGAAGAGGAAGGAAGCATTTCTAAAACAAGAATCATAAGAAAAATCCTATTTATTTTCAAAAACACACATTTTGGGTCCGACGATAAATATCACTCGCTGTACTTATAAAAGCTCTTACATATAATTTCAATAGTTGTTCACTTTTAATTTTACTCTTCTTCATCCTTATTTTCTGGCAAATGAGTATTTTTTAATTTTCTTAATACCTCCTGAAGCGTCCTTTAAAACGGGATATGATTTATTAATCCACCGTAAAGAAATTAAATTACATTTTGCTTGTTAAAACTTTTTAAAGCGTAAATTCCGCCGGCTCATAAACCCGGTTACTTCATCTTTCACGCCTTCCTGGAGAGACCGGGAACAATTACACCGGGCAAAATTAACCGACACTAACTGCTCCTTCTAATTAAAAAACGTACAGCTCCTTCTCCTGTTTATCCTTACCCTAATCCGGGAATTCACGAATTAAAAATACACATAACGCGAAGTGTACTACCCCTATTTGTGTTCCGATTCGAGGGAGACCTTAAGGGCGCCCGGTAATTGGGAAAATGAGCAAAGGAAGACTTAATGAGCATTTTGTTGATTACCGTTTACGGGGCTTCGCATTATTACATTGCCAAATTGGGGGTGTAATTTCCTTTAGTGCTTCAGTTGCGGCTTCTAGTATCATTTGTCATTTTTATGCTGTCGGATTCGCTTGTAGGAGGTATATCTTTAAGTTCCCTTAATTTAAAACATTTTGAGTTTGGATACAAGGAGATCGGATAATGAGCGGTTCTATTATTAAAAAAAACGAGTTTTCTTTGTAAAAAATATGGAATAATCACTTATAATGTCTCCGAAATTTTTATTTTATCGAAAGCAGATAGTTTTTCGTATTCTAAAGACGAAAACAAATAGTTTTTCGAAACGTCAACAACTTTTTAAAGAGCGCGATACAAGTTGATGGGTTTTTTGTGCTATATTTTGTATTTGTTTGGTTTTTTGAGTGAGATTTTTCGGTTAGGCAAAACTATTTTTGTGAAAATAACCCATGCCTGATTCTTTTGGCACAAGGGTTTATTTCACTAATTTTTAATTTTTTTACCGGTGGCAAAATACCAAATTCCCCGACAAAAATTTTATTTAATAACCGATTTCTCCAGCAAAATATCAAAATACGTATCTTTCCGCTAACGCTTTCTGCAAAATAATGAACAATCCAATTTCGCTACAATTATAGCTTCTGAAAAATTATGGAAACAACAGTTTCTTATTGGCGAAACGGGTAAAATGAATTTTGACTTTTTAATAAATCGGAATTGTATGCAGTATGACAAAATATTAAGTGAAATGTTATTTTTTTAACGCTGGGCAGAGGGGAAAGTATTAACTTTTATTTGAGACACTGCTTAATAAGATTGTTGCGGTAGTAGTATAAAACTGTATTAAGGAAATATAAATAATGGAGGGTGAAATGTTCCTATTTGTATTGCGACTTCAACTGAACCTCAAGGGTTGTAATTAGGGAAATGAGCTAAAGAAAACTTAAAGATCATTTTCTTGATTACCATTCTTGCCATTGTTAAGGAGTAAAATGAACCCTCAAGAGCATTTTTAAATTGGGGGAATAATTTTCTTTTGTGTGCCGACCGAGATGTCGGATATCATTACTGTGATTTGCCGTTGCCTTTGGGTGCAGTGCGAATAAATCATGATCAGTCGTATAGAATTTATATTTCCACTTCCGTCAGGCTCGAAAACAAACAAGTGAAATTAAATTGTAATCATTTCAATATTTTTATCTAGATTAGATGTTGAGCTAAATCGTATTTTTGGAGAATTTTTTCCTGGAAATTTTTATGCAGAAGAGCGTGAACATTTTTGGCTTAAAAATTGTATTGTAGGTATTGCAGAAAAAATCTAGGAAAAAATTAACCATCCTGTGTTCATTTGTTAAGTGTAAAACCAATTTAAATAAGTTCATGTATAAAAAAAAATTAAAACAAGCTTTTAGTGACGTCATTTTATTTTCGTATTCTTCTCAGCAAACCCTTTCATTTGTTATCATGGGGGTGCATAAAAAATAACTGGTCCGCCATCTTTGGGAGTCCGCCGTATTGGATTTAGAATGACTTCACTTAGCTAACCATGCATTGTCATCCAAACTAAACGTGTGTGCAATATTTCAGCTCAATCGGTTGGGGATAACTGTTTTAAAATTCATTTGCAAGATTTGACCCATACTAACAAGGCAAGTTAAATAAAAGCTTGTAATAAAAAAAAGATAAATAGAAAAGGTGCATTGAAAAATATTAATGAATTAAATTTCTTATAAACGTTCTTTTATTCAAGATTAGGAAGCTGATCAATCTTACTTTTTTTGTTTCATATATTTTCTTGATATTTGCCGAGACTTTTCTTTATCAGATATATCAATATTTAAGCTGTTTTTTTTTTGTACATATTATCTAAAGCTAAATCTCTTTTGTCTTTTCACTTCTAGATTTACAATAGAATAATAAATTTGTTCATAATTGCCACTTGTTTACGCACTTACTATCTTTGCTAGGGAAAGAGGAAGGAAAAAAATTAAAAAAATTAAATACATTACTGGCATACGTGTATAAACTTATCATGAAAAAGATCTCAATTATCAAGAAAATGGTGCTTACTCTCTTTGACACTTACTTTTATGTTTAGCATGATTGATGGGCGTTCCTTAAAATAATAATAACAATAAAGTAAGGGAAGACGTTTCTATGGAAGCTTCGCAATTAGGAACTTTGATTACATTTACGTTGACAATTAATTATTCCAAGTCTTATTATACACGTTGTTAGCAGTGCCAACAATAGCCAATAGTAGTGATATATGGCATCATTTTTTTACACAGAACAATACAAAGTTACGTTTTAAGTATTTTATTTAAAAAACTGAATATAGAGGGTCGCTGATATGTATGGAAACACTGGATTATATCCACCCTGTTTAAAAATATATACTATTCTGTCTTTTTTGTTTCAGGGAGATTCGCCCTTCGGCAAGTCGGAAGCTTACATAAAACTAGAACAATTAGGTGAAGGTTCATACGCAACCGTGTACAAAGGATTTAGTAAGTAAGTGAAACGACCTTCTTTCCGCTATTTTCTCTCACATATCGTTATCCTCGCTCGAGGATAACCCCAAAACCCAAATTACGCGGAATAAAAACTGGCAGGCCCTTGGCGTGCCTAAGTGTACCAGGAAACGAGATCCACGTCAAATTCGGACGGGCCAACATCCGGAAAGGACCATTTTCTCGTGATAGAGGGAAAAATTTATTCATATACAATTTATACCACTAAATTAAGTGATGTATCCTTCTTTGCGTTGCACTTTTTATAGGATTGTTATCTACCAAGTAATTTAGGATGATTAAAAATGTATTTTGAAATATAATAATAGCCCAGTAAATAAAATTTGTAATACATTAAATCAAAAGGTAATTCGTTTCAGATTGAAACTCGGTTTAATAGTTAGTTTAGGCAAAAAGAAATAATATTTCCCAAAAAGTATCGATTTATAACAACAAGATCATTGTTTAAACAATGATTATATTGTAAAAATGACCAAAAAAAATGGAGTTTTTTAGCTGTATTAACATGCGCTCTCCAACAGGATTTTTTTTATTTTCATTTTGTGTTGTCCATTTCCATTTTTTTTATTTAGTTTTATAGGTTTACTTCTTATTAGAGCTCGGGACTCGGTCAGATGATCATAGCCGTCGCGTCTGCCTTTTGCTACAAGGCACCGTACAAAACCAGTAATAACGGTAGTTATTGGCTTCGCGTTTGCTTCGTGTATACGTGTTTTAATATTAAAACGACCTTTCGGTGATAAAGTACCCAAATTTATTTAATTTTATTTATACCTACCTACCTGTTTATTTTTTATTTGTTTACGATGAACACGCCTATGACTGGCCGACGAAAACCCCGACCTTTACGTTGTGAGTACAATTATTTTTTGTAAGTGGTCTCCATTTACATCACAGTGTACATATCCATGGTATCGTTTGGGAGAAATTGGCTAAATTGGCAGCTACCTTTGGCTGCTGTTTTCACACCAGTGGGTTAGGCAGCTTTACTAGCCGTTGGTGGCTGCTGGCTGCTAACAGCACAGTATGAACTTCTAGCAGCCGCTGTTTTTACCATATAAAACCAATGTGAACCCAAACCAGCGGCTGCTTGCTGTGCATATTTACAGCCAGCCGCCACCAGCGGCCGATAAAGTAGTCTAGTCAGACCGCCGCTTTGGTGTCAGTCTCGGTGTCAGTAATAGAATGATTTAAATATTCACCCATTTAATCGTTTTTTCTCTTTCATGTTATCAAATCTTATTAAATTTTGTACAAATAGATACAATATCGTTATCCATAATAAGTTGACTGACCACTGATTGTGAGGGAATAGCTATAAATTTAAAAGGGAATAAGCAAAGAATAAAAGAAATATAAGAAACTACGAGGAAAATGGGCAGATAACGGAACGGAATCTTGGAAATATTTTCAATAGTTTCTTTTCTAGAAATAAAAAAATAAAATATTCCCTATGACGGACTAAGCTGTCCTACATTTTGGTTTGCGTTTGTTTCAGTTTGCAAAATCAAGTGGTGGCACTGAAGGAGATTAGACTGCAAGAGGAGGAGGGCGCTCCGTTCACAGCTATCCGTGAGGCTTCCCTACTGAAAGAACTGAAACATGCCAACATAGTCACCCTCCACGACATAGTACATACCAGAGAAACGCTCACGTTCGTTTTCGAATATGTAGTGAGTATATAAAATATGTTATTTACATCAAATCAAGTTATTTTTGTCTCACTAGCGCCCTATTGTCATATCACATCAGATGGATTGACATTATATAGTTCACCTAAACTAAATCAATATATCGTATCAGAGATCATTAACACTGGCATTCTCAAAATAAACATAATGCTTTAAAAATGTATTTCAAATCTGTCGGATTACTAAGTATTTTTATTTAGGTATATATGTACAATGTGTAAAACACCAAAAATAATTTCAAAATATGAAATAGCTTTATAATTAGTAACGTATAGGTACCAATATTTGATAATCCCGCGAAAATTTTTTTTTTAAACATTCGAATTTTTCTAGTTTTCTGCGCTTTGTCCGCATTGACGTCAAATTAATTTTGGTAACTTTAAAATAATATAATAAATTTGCCATTGCAGTTTTGCTCTGTGCCACTTCGTTAGTTTCATATAGTTGGTACAAGAATGTTATTTATTCTTATGCAGTTGGCTTACAAATGTAACAACAGGTAAAACAGATAAGCGGACACGTGCAACCGGGAGCTGTCCAGTGGCGTAAACAAAAATTTGAAGTGCAATTTATAAAACGAAAACTCAACTACTGATTTAATAAAAAATGAATTAAATAAATTTGTTTTTGATCTTTGATAAACAGTATATAAGTTTATGCACTTACCTTTGATACAATAAAAAAATAAAGTTGATAATTAAAGGAAGTTTAAAGATAAATAATTATTGCACTGTTGAAAGACCAATAATTATCTGAATGATTTAGATGAGCTGAATCCGAATCTGGGGGCAGAATTGCTCTATCACGTCAGGTTTTTTAGATATCCTAACCTAAAATTGCAAAAAACATTGTTTTTCTTCATATTTGAGGTTATGTAGTAATGCCATCTATTCTGTTATTAACGATAGGCATTTGAAAATACGCTAAATGGTTTTTTAATTCGCGAGACATCAATTAAAAAAAAATAAATCAAAATCGGACCTCTAGAAGCTGAGATATGAAAAATGTTTAAGCGCGTCGTGGTTTTGAACTCGCCGATTCAATTTCGAGCAGGCCGAAGCGGCCGCGCTCTCTGCTGTTTGTAAGTACAAAAATTCGACCAATGTTTAAACAAGCGCCAGAGCTCTCCTAATTGACGGATTCGAATTTTTCAAAAAGCGTTTGAAAGCTTGAGAGCCCTTTTATATGTGATTAAATTTTCAAGAACCTAAGGGCCAAATTTTGAAAATTTGAAATTTTGTTTTCAAAAGTTGCAATCCAAAATTATGTAAAATCTATCATACCGATTTTGATGAAATTTGGTGTGATGACTCTACATAGCATGAAGTTTTCTTGAGCCAAGTATGAAGGTCCTATACCCAATTTAAAGGCCCCAAAAAAAATCCCTAAAAAGTATTGTTTTTTAACCCCAATTTTGGCGATTTTTTCGATTTTTACAATAATAATCATGATTCATTTGATTTGTAACTAGTCATATTTTGTAAAAAATTAAATTACAAACATTTTTTTACTTTTCCATTTATTTTTCGCCTAAAATCAACTCTTGAAAAGATAAATAATTAAATAGGAAGAAAAAATATGACATTTTTCGAATTTTTGTAACATATTGTGACACCAAAAGTTAAGTCCACGTTTTTTTTTATGCGCATAGAAAAATTTTCATTTCAAATGGTATTTGAAAGCCAAAAAGCCAAAGATCTCCGTGGATATACGATTCACCCAAACCGCGCCATTATTCCATGGCTAGAAATTGGCCTCAATGATTTGGGATCGAGGGGGATTATCCCTCTTTATCCTGCCTCATCTCGTGTAGGCCTTCGTAGGTGGGCCCCATCCGTCGTCTACCCCGACCGCAAATGCGGTCGGTGTAGGCGCTTTGTGGACCTCCTTTTGTCCTGGCTGGGCCCTGCCGGCTAGGGCCTTTTCTTCTGGCGTTCTTCTTGCTACCCAAACCAAAACAGATACCGCCTAGTATATAATTAATTTTGACAATTTGGAGATTAACACATACAATTTATTGGGTCAAAAATGTTTAAATATAATAAGTTAATTTTCATTTCTCCAACTTGTACTTTGCACAAAATAAACTCTTTCAATACACACTCTTCTAAAAGTTTATAATAAGGTAATACAACTTATGCTTTCTTGTTTCACAGCACACAGATTTATCCCAATACTTGGAAAGGCACAGCGGCGGTCTGGACCCCCGCAACGTGCGCCTCTTCCTCTTCCAGCTGCTGCGCGGCCTCGCCTACTGCCACAAACGTCTAGTGCTGCACCGCGACGTCAAGCCCCAGAACCTCCTGATCAGCGAAATTGGCGAACTGAAGCTGGCCGACTTCGGCTTGGCCAGGGCCAAGTCCGTGCCCAGCCACACCTACTCCCATGAGGTGGTCACCTTGTGGTACCGGCCGCCGGACGTCCTACTTGGCAGTACCGAGTACTCCACCTCACTTGACATGTGGGGGGTAGGATGCATCTTCGTGGAGATGATCACGGGCATGGCCATATTTCCCGGTGTAAGGGACACCTATGATCAGTTAGATAAAATTTTTAAGGTAGAGAATCACCTATATTTCTTTGCTAGAGTTCCAAAATAGGAGGCGTAGTCTCATAAATAAATCGGGCTGTAATTTTTAAGTATTAATTTCCAGCTTAGGCGTTTCCTTGCTTGTCATATGCGTGCAAATGGGAAAAACATTATTCGTGTCTTTAAAAATGGAATCATGTGCGAGCGTTAGTGAATAATCTGTTAATAATGAGGGTAATTGTAAACAAGTGAATTTAACAAGATCTTTATATGTCTCACCCCTCGCAAACATCTACATGTTGAGAATGAGTAATAGCCTGCAGTTTTGGGTACCTAGTATGTTACATTAACTGATCATTTACTAAGTGCCCTTGAGGTCGAAAGAGTTGAATCAATGGTGTTGTTCCTCGTAGGTATTAGGTACTCCAACAGAAGAAGACTGGGCTGGCGTCACTAGACTGCCAGGTTACAAACTACATAGGATAGGTCAGTACAGGCCCAGACGGTTGGGGCTTTGTTGGCCCAGGCTGCACGATGTAGTTCACGGCGAAGCCATGGCCATGGCCCTTCTACAACTAGACCCCCAAAAAAGACTGGGCGCTGAAGAAGCAATGACCCATCGTTACTTTGATGGGCTACCTAAGAAGCTTCTAGAACTGCCAGATGGTGAGTAAATTCGTATTGAGAACTGTTTTTTCTTGAAGAATGTTTGGAGTGTTTGAAATTAACAATTGAAAGCCGCTTTTCTTTCAGATTCTTCAATATTCACTGTTGAAGGTGTACACCTATGTCCAGAGCAGTATTCGGGTATAAAATGAGGTTGACCTTGTCTACCTCTCTCAGGAAAAAAACATCTTTAAGCAATGACCACAGTCAGTCAACCGTATCCCTTTACATACTTGCTTCACGATTAAAAAAAAAAAAACTGTAATGACACCTCGTTGTGCACTGCTGTTGCAATTATTTTTATTATGTTTACTGTTTAGTTAAGGTTAATAATATTTTGATTATTCGTTATCGCGCATCTTAGGACAATTATGCGGTTTCATTAAAAAAAAAAAGACTGGAAAATATATTTTCTGAATGGTTTGGATATAACTTGTTGGTTGGCTAGGAATTTTTCAGTAACGTCCAGGATTCAACGAATTTTACAGAAGAAAGCCATAAGTATATATAACTTACGAACTAAAAATGCCACAACCGACAAATTATTAACAATGGGGGGACACTAACATTTATTTATTTTTAAATTATTGCAAAATCTTAGTGCAATTTTAGACAATTTTACTATCTTTAATACCGTATAGGGGCCATTCAGAATTTTCTTTTTTAATTAACCAGGATTTAGTTACCTTTTCTTACATTATTTAAGGAAATTTCTTCAGTTTTTCGACAGTGTTTTGTTTTTTAGAGGGTAATTATTACTCGCAAAATTATATCATATTTATAGTTACATTTGTACGATACCCTCAGAAATTGTTTATGTACGATTTGCAAAATGTATATTCTAAAAATCACTTAAAATGTTTTAAAAGTTATTTTCAACTATATACAGGCTCGGAAAGTGCTCATGGTACATCGGCCGTTACGTGAGAGCGATAAAGTAAGTCATAGAAATCCGTGCGATAGAGAAGGATGGCTATAATGAAGGCGTCTCATAGTCACCGCCCGTTTAGCCTTTCCACAAATAAGATTCACTTCCACTTGTAATTCAGCGACCGGTGGTTCGGAATACCGAAGTCGGAATTGTATAACTAGTGACATCTATTAAAGAAAAGGCAAATGACGAAAACAAAGATGACCACCGGTCGCTGAATTACAAGTGGAAGTGGATCTTATTTGTGGAAGGGCGAAACGGGCAGTGACTATGAGACGCCTTCATTATAGCCATCCTTCTCTATCACACTTATTTCTATGACTTACTTTATTGCTCTCACGTAACGGCCGATGTACCATGGGGACTTTCCGAACCTGTATATCTACATAGGTTATTTAAACGCAATATTTGAGACTGTTCAGGTCCTCGAATATTATCTTAGATGTTGATAAACTGGTTGAATAATTTTCTTCGGCTTAATGATGATGACTATGGATTTAAAAGGAGACGTTAAGTGATGCGATATAAAATAAGTACACATAATTAAGTACAACTAAAAAATTATTGAATTGAATTTTTGAACTGAAGAAACTTGTTGAAAATTAGAATATACATTTTTTCAGTTATTTACATTCAAAGTTGTTACTGTTAACTTTTATCTTAAGAGTTATTAGAAAATGCAGTTGGTAGTCTTATATAAGTGATTTTTTTATGATATGAAATTCTCCAAAAATTATTGTGATTAATTTACTTTTAGGTACTACGTTTTATTTCCAGAAGTTGTACATGTTTTGAAAATGCAAGTTTTTTTTTGTTTTTCTTTATTTTAGCGGATCAAGTCGGAATATAGAACATGTTTTTCGTACTCCTGGATGACGCATTTTCAATTTACATAATTTTAGGTTTTTGTAAATATGGAGAATATTTTATTAGAATAAACTGATAAACACAATTTTTTGTTCCATTTACACCTTTAAGATGTCAAATTGTTCCGTTCACAGATTCACAAAGGTTAAACTTGTCGTTTGTTAAAACTGGGAGGTAAGTATTTTCCTTAAGAATCAGATCCAGATTTGAATATTCATTACTCACATTTTCATGACATAGAACCTAATTTAGAACGAGTTTCGATTTTGAAAAAACAATTTTTGTTTACATGTTTCCCGTGACCTTTCATGGCGAAAAATTAAAGAAATCCTATTTCAACATCATTATAATAATATTGTTTCGAATTTAGTACCCTTTTCAGACTTTAGGCCTGTTAAATTTAATTTTTGCATGAATTATGTGTTGGATTTTTTACAATGATTTCCTTTGTGAATCTGACCCCCCCCCAGACACAACAGTAACTGCAAACAACATGGAAATGTAAAATACGCCGATCCATTCCTTCCAAGGTGCTCAATTACTAATAGGTCACTCTGCTGATCGAAATTAGGGAAAATGTCTGGCTGTTTAAATTGAAACTGCTGAGCAGTGGAACTGAATTTTACAAGGCTGGGATTGCCATTGCCTTGACTGGCACAACCAAATAACAGATTACTCATGTTGGCAATTTATCAGATTTATTTAGAATTTTTTGAGTTTATATTTTCATCCGGCTTCTATGTATTATTCCCTAAATTGCCAACATTATGATCTGCGCTCTAAACCTTTCAACTATCGAAGTTTTTTTCATAGAGAGTAGCAAAACCCTTGCTTTAAAGATTTACTGTCAGATTTAATATTGTCTTATTCTTGTAAATAGTGTAAAAAGTTTTATTGTTGAGGATTACCAGTACACCTTGTTGTTTTTGCATTTAGATTTTAGTTTTAAGGATATTTAGAATAAAAAGAGTAGCTTTCATTAGCAAACAGTAATGTAGAAACTCCTTCATACTTCTTATATATACCTAAAATATTTTACGTCGAAATAATATTTATTTAATCAAGCTTATACATATTCTTTATTTTTCGTTTTAGTAAAGTAGTAAAGTTATTTTTCTTATAAAAAGCCTAATAGAACCATCTAGTTTGTGAAAAAAAAAGTAAGCGATTATGAGAAAAAAGAAATATTAAAAATCTGAAGGTAAATGATTAGAAAAACCTTATACAAGTGCCAAAGGGCAATAGCGTAAGCGTTAGCTCTAGTTATATCAAAACAGTAATTCCGTTACGTCTTTCAAAAAATTTTGTCGAAGTCTCAAATATGGAAATGGAATATACTCGCAATGGCTGGTTTGATAAAAATTTATAACACTATGATTTCTAATTAATATATAAATTTTCCACGTTTTTACAGAACTTAAATATTAAATTGGCTGATTTAATATTAATGCTGATTTAAGTATTCTGCCGATAGGCTGATTTAATATTAAGCTGATTTCAGTATTATGCCGATTAGCTGATTTAAGTATTCTGCCGATAGGCTGATTTAATATCAATGCTGATTTCAGTATTTTGCCGATTGGCTGATTTAATATTAATGCTGATTTCAGTATTCTGCCGATTGGCTGATTTAATATTAATGCTGATTTCAGTATTCTGCCGATTGGCTGATTTAATATTAATGCTAATTTCAGTATTCTGCCGATTGGCTGACTTAATATCAATACTGATTTCAGTATTCTGACGATAGGCTGATTTAATATTAATTCTGATTTCAGTATTCTGCCGATAGGCTGATTTAATATTAATTCCGATTTCAGTATTCTGCCGATAGGCTGATTTAATATTAATTCTGATTTCAGTATTCTGCTGATAGGCTGATTTAATATTAATGCTGATTTCAGAATTTTGCCGATAGGCTGATTTAATATTAATGCTGATTTTAGAATTCTGACGATAGGCTGATTTAATATTAATGCTGATTTCAGTATTCTGCCGATTGGCTGATTTAAGTAGGCTGATTTAATATTAATTCTGACTTCAGTATTTTGCCGATAGGCTGATTTAATAAAAATGCTGATTTCAGTATTCTGCCGATTGGCTAATTTAATATTAATGCTGATTTCAGTGTTCTACCGATTGGCTGATTTAATATTAATACTGATTTCAGTGTTCTGCCGATTGGCTGGTTACAGTATTCTGCCGATTGGCTGATTTAAGTACCCTGCCGATAGGCCGATTTAATATTAATGCTGATTTCAGTATTCTGCCAATTGGCTGATTTAATTATTCTGCCGAATATTAACATTCATCGAGTCTATTCCAGATTCTGTGACGAGACTGTAAAAACCTACACGCAGATATCAAAACGCTAGTATATAAAATTACGCCTAAAATTATAGCGAGCATGTTTTCTTGAATTTGCAAATAGAGAAAGCTGTGAGCTCTAGAACACCACTTTTTTAGTAAAATAAAGTTAGCAGAAAAATGTAATCTTAGCGTAGTCCAAATCCGGACGAAAGGCACTAAATTTTGCGGCAATGCACCCCTCCAAGGTACGTCCAAAATACATGCCGTCGACATAGTAACCGTTGTAAACGGCATGTTAGATTAGCATTAGGTTTAATCACATCCAGCTCAGTGCACGCTTTAACGCGCACATGTGTTTTTGTTTCAATGACAAATCAAAATTAAATGAATAGTGGACCTCCGGTTATTAACACAAGATTTAACAGTGGAGTATTTTAGTAAGCGTAAAAGTTGTGGTAATAACTGCGGTATTGATGGAGATATGAATGTAGTTCTCTAAGTGCACCATTTTTGTTTTTAGTGTACAGAATTGGTGTGAAATTGCTCTTATGTGATAGAGTCTAATTGTTAAACTTTTGGTTTGTTAATGATTGTATTTATTGAAAGGGTAAATAAAATTTTATGATAATACCGAGGACTAATGGTGTACGTAATTACTGTACCATGTTGCATTGTACATAGAAATAGTTGTTTATAATAAGTTTATTATAAGAGTATCGAAAATATTAATAATTAATAAATGTCTTTGTATAAAATTATTTGCCTGTTATTGACTTCTGTAACATGTTCCTCCTTTCATCCCTACAATATAACCTTTTGAAAACCGCTGATTTCAATATAAATAACGTTCTTTGCTCTTTTACTATCATTCTCTTACACATTTCCAAATATATGCAAAGTGTATGTCCTCGGTGAACACTGAATCACCGAACTAAAAGTGGATCAACAATTAATATTCCCAAGATTTATTCAAAACGCAATCACAGTAAAACTAAAATATCAGCTTTTTTCTAGTAATAACTAGGTCACTTAAAAAATTTAAAATAATTTTGTTAAATATATTAAAATAAACTTACTAGCATCTCAGTTTGTTGCAAAAGAAAAATGGACCTTAATAGATATCTCTTTCATTAAAATAGTCTCAAGAAACGAATCATGGCGTGGAGCAACGATACGAATCCCTATGAGTTCACCGAGGTCTCCCAATTACACAGAACCACAAAAAATAAATGAGGAGAGTTTTGCCCCATCACGTCGGCGTTTTTTTCTAACCTAAAAAAACGACGAAACTATGAGCCAACAATATCAACCCTTAAACCATATAACCTGAAAATCTATAACCTCGAAACTCATAAATCCCAATAAACTGCAAATACAAAATACATAGGTATTGTATTTTTGAAACTGAGAGAGTTGCACGAAACTAAATTTGTACAGGACATAGCTAATACAATTCGAAACATTGCCTTAATGTTAAAAATGTTGTCACCGCCGTTCTTAGTTGTGAAAATTCGAAATATTTGGAATTATTCAAATTTCGTGGCTGAAAACCTTTTTTATAGATAAGAGCCTTTTTTTATTTATAAGGGTGGCTGCCAGATAATTTAAGCTATTCACGTATAAAAATGTAACATACATCAACAAATAAGTTTTAAAAGCAATAATTTTTATAAGCATTTTTTATATATGAGGGTGGATGCCACCCTNCTTAATAGATATCTCTTTCATTAAAATAGTCTCAAGAAACAAATCATGGCGTGGAGCAACGATATGAATCCCTATGAGTTCACCGAGGTCTCCCAATTACACAGAACCACAAAAAATAAATGAGTGGAGAGTTTTGCCCCATCACGTCAGCGTATTTTGCTAATCTAAAAAAACGACTTGAAACTATGAGACCCAACAATATCAATCCTTAAACCATATAATCCTGTACTTTCATAACTCGATAAACTTAAGATCGATAATAATCTATAACTCTAAAACCCATAACCTGAAAATCTATAACCTCAAAACTCATAAATCCCAATAAACTGCAAATACAAAATACATAGTCTGAGAGAGTTGCACGAAACTAAATTTGTACAGGACATAGCTAGGTAATATGATGCGAAACATCGCCTTAATGTTAAAAATGTTGTCACCGCTGTTCTTGGTGGTGAAAATTCGAAATATTTGGAATTATTCAAATTTTGTGGCTGAAAACATACATAGGTATCGTAATTTTGAAACCGAGAGGGTTGTATGAAACTAAATTTGTACAGGACATAGCTAATACAATTCGAAACATCGCCTTAATTTTAAAAATGTTGTCACCGCCGTTCTTGGTTGTGAAAATTCGAAATATTTGGAATTATTCAAATTTCGTGGCTGAGAGCCTTTTTTTATTTATAAGGGTGGCTGCCAGATAATTTAAGCGATTCACGTATAAAAATGTAACATACATCAACAAATAAGTTTTAAAAGCAATAATTTTTATAAGCATTTTTTATATATGAGGGTGGATGCCACCCTTAATACGGGCCGGGCATATAAAAAAACATACAGGACTATGTTGGAAGAGATAATTTAAGCGATTCACGTATAAAAACTTAACAGACATCAACAAATAATTTTTATAAGCATTTTTTATACATAAGGGTGGCTGCCACCCTTAATACGGCCCGGGCATTTATAAAAACACACAGAACTTTGTAGAAGGGGATAATTTAAGCTATTCACATAGAGAAATTTAACAGACCTGAAATAATATATAAATTTACAATATTTACGTAAGGGCGGCATCCACCCTCAGGTATGAGAACTGGAAATACATATACACTCCGTATATTAATCCGATTTTCGAGTCATTTGAATCTATAAATGTTGAAAATTTTAACAGGCATTACCACATGAACGAAAATCATAATCTGAAAAACCGTTGCTGGAAAACCGTTGCTATATTCACATCCGTCCTTTTTTGTACTAAAATTATAATTTTACAATACCCAAGTACTAAAAGTTGTTCGTTCATTCATTTAAAAGAAATTACATTTATCTCTGAATAAGTTATGCAGATTTAAAATGGTGGGATGGCTTCATTTTAAAGCTAAAGCCTTACCTACCTGTTACAGAATAATCTGATGGCACAAAATTAGAGCGTGGAACTGCTGAAATCCATATCTTCTTGTGCTTAACTTCTTCACCATATAGAAAACCAAGAAAGTGAACTTGGAGGGTAGGTATCTTAAATAAACATTTACATTTAAGTCACAGGACACGACGCGACACGACACGGCACTGAACACTAAACTGACCGGCACATACCGTCCGACATCTGTACTTAACCTATAAATTGCAATTATGTTTAAAATAACGAAAACAAGTCACTAATTTATAAAAAAATATACCACAGACACTGAAAAGACACAAAACAACTTAAAAAACGCGTTTTTCAATGTAGTTAAATTATTTTTATCGCCGAAAATTGAGAAATTACGCACGCAGCAATCGGCAACGGTGATTTACGAAATAAAACAAGCCACTAGCACAGCACAGCACAGCAGATGATCTATGATGTCATTACACGTGTGTTTGTGAGGTTAGGTTTTTTTAAATGGTAATAGACAAAAAATTATCAAGAGATAAACAACAAGTGGAAGAATTATTTTTTATTAAATATCATTCATACAATATTTCAATTAATACAAAACTTTCTAAAAATAACAAATTATAGGTACAGTCACTGGCATAATTTACCGATAAAAAACAAAGTACGTTGTTCACAATAATTAAGTACAATTTAATTAGAACTGAGGTATTTCTTAATGGCTGCTGAATCTCTCTTCAGCCATGCAGTGTTCAACTGTATAGTTTCCACGGCTTGTTGTACGGTTCTTTCCGTACCAGGCGACTTGTGTTCCCGGAAGAATGTTTCCACCTCCGTGGACATCTTTTCGCTGGCAAAGTTCTCCGTTAAGTACTTAACCAACCTGGTTAGCAGGTACCCACTGAAACGCTCTACGATCTTGCTCCAGTTGTCTTTGAAGAACTGCCAGGCCAGCTCGCGACCCACGTGAGTGAGTGCCACGGAAATTATTACAAATACTGTGTCCTGCGAGCGTACTTCATCCTAAAAGAAAATAATACAATTGAAAACTGATGAATATTCATTCAAACATCTACAAGCTTATTATTCCACTTTTTTATTTTTAATTTTAGGAAAAGTAGAGGGTGGCCTTGGTTGAAAACATTTGCAACGCAATCGAGATGCCGCCCTGGCATTTTGATCATGTTCCCCGTAAATTAATATTATGCTCTCTACTTCGGTACTTTCGTAAACAAAAATGGGCACAAAAATAACCACTCGTTCAGAAAAATTGATGTGATTTCGCAAAAATTTTCGTTTTTTTTTGTATTTACAATCAGTAAAGGACACGACCTAACTGCTTTAAATTTGCCTTGACCTTTGAAAAAAATGTTTCTATTATGGGACACCGCTTTTGGAAAATATCCGAAAAGAACGTTTAACACCCTGTATCTCAAAGAATAAACTAGATTTATAACATATGCGACTTCACTCACCGACATGGCAAAATCGAGAACTTTCTTCAACAATTCGGGATCCTTGGCGGCCCCCAGCGACCTGCTGATCCTGTCCTTCTCCTCGTGGAGATCCGTCGACCGATACAACTGCAAAAGCGTGTCGTACTCTTCCTTTCCCCCAGCCCTCAGCACAGTCTTGTAGCAGGCGCTACGGAGATCCGCCGGCAAGGTCTGATCCGATTTAACGTGAACGACGAACCGTTCCCTGGCCTCCTTGATGGTGTCTTCATCGTCCAGCCAGGCGAGCCGGCCCAAGACGAGACCTCTGAGCAGGGTGTCGAGGTGAGTTTCGTCCGGTTTTTGGTTCCAGCCCAGTCGTTTGTACACTTTACGTAGGAGTTGTTTTTGGTACTAAAACAAAAATTAATATATATGGATTGACCGTTCATATTTATTAGACTTACTTTTTTATAGTCGATATCACACTCGGTATTTCCCAAAACTTGCCCCACTCTTCCAAGGATATTTCCTATAGAGGACCACACATTGTAGTCGGTTTCGTCTTCGAAGGCCTTGAGTAGTTTCAACACCTCCACTGTACTTGTATGGCCAGCCTTTACCATAGCAAAGAGATCGTCCAAGAGCCCTAGCCTGAAAGAAAAAAAATTTTTTTCCACCAAGATGAAAACAAAGTGATTTCTTACCTATCCAATGGAGGCAGGGTCTTATTTTGTATAGCGGGAATGAATTTCTCCAACATTTCCGGCGTGTACTGAGTCCTATAAAATCCTATGGTGCCGGGGTTGATTTTTATCCACTCGGAAGGTTTTACATCAGGTACAACCACTTCGGCCGTAGGCGTCTTAAGAACAGTGCTCACTACTTCCTTAGAAGGGTTTTTAGAGGTAGATATCGAGATTGGTATCAACCAGAGGTAGTTTCCTGAGGGTTTGGAGCCGTCCGCTGTGAATTTGGTTTGGGAGAGTGTCAGGGTCACACCCTTTCCATCGCCTGTAATAGTAAACATTGACAATGATGTGTCTTTATTTAGAATAATTGTACAATAGACCGCAAGAGGGCTAACTTTTGGCCCACTCACCAGAAAACCTAACCTAACCTAGAATATATGAGTATTATACATCAAAGCACAATAATGATAAGACACTAACTTACGTTTACATTTTTTTTGTCTTTATTAGATTGGTATAGTTTTTATACTCATAAAAACTAGTTATATATAGAAATGAATGTTACTCAAGAGAATAACGGAGGTGGCGACATCTATTTCATTAATTTAAAATCACTCTCATAGGGGAACACCTACTTTTGTAATTGGTCATTTTTATGTTTCTTCGGCAAGACCCTTTATCTCCTTCCAAAAAGGTGTAGTTGTAGATTATTTTTAACAGTAGAAAGTAAAAAAAATATTGCTTGGTGTCTCAAGTAAAGTCTTTCCGATCTCAATTTAAGACCAAAGAGCTAGACATTAACTTTGCATTGAAATATTTGAAAAACTTGTTCCTATATTTATTTAGCCATACCTATATACAAGTCTGGTCGAACTAAACGTGGAGGTGGTAGAAATGTATATGCCCAGTTGAAGAATAACATAGCCGCACTGGGCGACTGGGCCATAAATTTCAGTTGTTGACAAATTGTCTAGCAGTGCAGTGCAGCAATGCGGAATTTGGTGTGATTCAGGTTATTTTAATTTATTATTCATATTACAACTGCGAAAGGGAGAAATAAGAGGGATGTTTTGTTTACTAATAACATTACAACATGGCATTTTAGAGACCTTTTTACACGGAACAAAACGAAATACCACCAGAACCGGTTGTTGATGAAACAGATTTAGAATTTATAAATAAAGATTTACATGTTCAATGTCAGCGTCTCATTTTAAAAATTTACGATTGTTTAAAAATGGAAGAAAATGAAATTATAAATAGAATTCACATATTAACTAAAGTTTCAATGTCCACAATTTTTCATGCTATAGATCATTGCGTAAAAAAAAATCTTAAAATATTGATGACATGACGAGAGACGTGATTCAGTGGACAATTTATAATTTATATAAAGAAAAAATATGTTGTTGGTTGGCCAAATGAACATGTAATTTAGCAGACAAATTTTTTAGAGACGCTTATGAAACTCATTAAATTTTATTGCTAGGCATTTTTATACAAGTTCGCCCGACTTCGAAAATACTTTACTACTAGAAACTGCATTATTGAATCAAAAGGGTAAATTGCAAACATATGGAAAACGATAAAGCAAGGAGACTGTCCTAAAATTACAAACACATCATCCTGGCCTGATATAATTGATTTGGTTGTAGACAAATTGGATTCAGGCCAACAAATATTTTGATTTGCCTGTAACTGCAAATACCTATTAAAAAATCTTGGAGAGCCATAGAAACAGCAGATTTTTTATAATTCAAAATTCAGAAATAGAGCAGTACAAAATAAATACGGTTATGCGTTTTTCCTTCGATCAGCTGTTTGACAAAGGAACAACAAATTTTTGGAAGACAACAAGACTATCACAGTTTTTTTCTTTATTATATTTGTATGTTTATAATGGAATCTCAGGACAAACCAAATTTTTTAAATTAATATTTAAACCAAGACCACAATACTTTAACTGAATATTAAACAGAAACCCTAAATTGTTAGCACTGATATAAGTAGGTACTATATCAGCTATAAAATATACATTTTTTGTAAATACATGGTCTCTCCCCTTATTGCACACAAAAAATTTCATATCATCAAATATATCCGCATTATAAATTAAAAAGAAAGTTGGCCCCAACACAGGTCCCTGGAGCACTCCCGAGATATAATGCTCCGTTTTGCATACAGATCATCTAATAAAACATTTTGAAATATTCACAAAACTATTACTAATTTTACTGCACTACAGAGATTAAGAAATCTGACACTCACCTGACGACTTGCTGGCGACTTTAACAACAGGGAAACCCATTTGTTTCGTCCAAGTTGACATGACGTCCCCGACCGGCTTATTACTGGCTTCCTCCAATGCCGCCCACAAATCCTCGGTAAAAGTATTTTTGTACTGGTGCCTGGTTAAGTACAGGTGCATGCCCTTCCTAAAGTCCTCGTCGCCGATATAGTGGTGCAGCATCCTTATCACCGAAGCTCCCTTATTGTAACTGATATCGTCGAATATCTCGTCGATTTCAGAGGGATTCCCTACAGGTACTTCGATGGGGTGAGAATTTTTTAAACTGTCCAGTTCTAACGCCTTAATATACGAGTCGTTGACGAACTGCGTCCAAATATCGTACTCCGGGAACAGGTAGTTGACGCATAGGAACTCGACGAAAGAGGCGTAGCCTTCGTTGAGCCACAAGTGCGTCCACCACTCCATGGTTACCAGGTTTCCGAACCACTGGTGGGCTAGCTCGTGTCCGACAACGAGAGCTATCCACTGTTTGCTCACCGCCGAGGTATTCTGGGGGTCGACAAGCAGACACGTCTCCCTAAAATGAACATAATATTTCTTATGAATTATGACGTAAATCAGGAGAAATATCTGTGTAGTCACGATTCAAACAAATGACGATTATTTACTGGCGTTCAATGATGTCAAATGTCATTTTAATTCGTTCGTTACTGATTTATGGTGCATAAAAAAATTAATTTTGTGGAAGAGTAGAGACAAAATTTTCGAAGGTTGTCATTTGAAAGTGTCTTCTATAGAATTAAATACAGTGTGTTCAAATTTTATCTAGATCCCCTTTAAATAAACCTAGTGACCATATGATGACCAAATTAGGAATTCATGGCCTACTATGATTTTTTTCAATGTGAAGGTAATATTGGTGATTTTTATCTAAAATCGGAAAACGCAGCATCATTCTACAACCCTTAAAATCCTTAAATATGAAATTTCATTAAATTTCTTTATCCCCAACTTTCCTATGAAGCCTTGCAATTGCTGAAATCGTGAAAAATTATGTTAGTCCCGTTATCTAGGAGGCCTTGGAATTAAATGAAAAGTGTACGAAGGAAGACCCTTAGGGTCAAAACAAAAGAAAAAAACTGCTGATGTTAGTTTTTTATTAAAACTTTTGTATAATATAAAACGATTAGCAATTTTTAGATGGACTGATTGGTTACAATTGTGTGCAAATCGTGTATTTTCTATGTATGTCGAAATATATCATCTCGATATAAAATATGTTCTCTATAGAATGTCAGTTCAACATTATTTCGAGTATTGAACGTATTTCATATTTATTATTCAGGATTGTTCATCGTTCCGTTACATAATCGCGCTTAGAACGCCATACACATGATACACAATGGAATATTTTTCTCCAATGAAAGCATTTGCCGTACGAATTCATTAAATGCAATTTTTAAACCTTAATTATCAACAATCCCCAGTTCACACAGAGCAAAAGGTTTACAAAACGTCTCATTGTTATGTCATAATTGTCCTAGGTGCCTCTTCGAGGGAAATTTATATTTCAAACTGCAATTATTTTATAATGAATGCATGGAGTACCGTTAGCTAATAACACACGGATACATAATTTTTCTGTTTATGTAAGAATTTAGTAAAAGTGAATCTATTAATATCAAAGTAACTCTTTTAAGCCGGCAAATAAAATATCACGGTACTTTTATTCTTCGGCCAATGATGGTCCATTAAATGCAATTAGATGTAGCGTTTATGTGTGCCATTAAAAAGCGTTTTCGTAATAAAAAATTTAATAATTGGTGTGCAAAATACGTCTTACATCGATCGCTAACTGCACACAATAAAGCTGATATATCGTGAAGGACAATAAATCTTTTATGTTAACCATACCAGGTGGTCATTTTTAAAGTGTAACCCTAAGAATATCGGAAAGTGTATGAAGTAAAATTGGTTAAATTGGAAAAACGTTGCACATTCTCATTGAAAATTCATTTAAGTCACCTCGTTGGTGAAATATCTTGAAAACCTAGCTTTGGGTGTAAAGGTTAGAAAATTTTCCAAACCAACTAGATCCCCATATTTTCACAGCACACTTTCGATTTTCTATATGGGTGTCACAGTGGATTGGAAACCAAGTCAAAATTTTGACTAACCTAACCTAACCTAACCAACTTATATGCCTGCCAAATTTCATTCATATTTTAATTTAAAAAATATGAAAATTTCAGCTTTTTCGAGATATTTTGAGAATAATTCAAATTATTTTCAATTTTTTAAAACAGTAAATAGCATGAAAATGCACAACTTTTTTGTAGTTTAGTCCAGGAGTGCTAATGGTGTACATCTTAAAGTGACTTTTGAAATTTACAAAAACTGGAAAACTGAAAAAATTGTTTTCATTCATACGAGTCAAAAATCATAGTTACTAGTTTTTGCAATTTTAAACATTTTTAAGACAATATATAGAACATCTTTTTCGAAAAAAAAAACAAAATATTAATTTTATCACCTAGAAAGACCAGTTGATGAATTCTAAGAAAAACAGCCACATAATACTCACCTGTAAGTAACAAGACCCCAGTTTTCCATAGCCCCAGCGCTAAAGTCCGCTATGGCAATCAAATCTATTTTTGGTAAAGGATAAGCTATATCGAAGTATCCCTTATAGTAAGGCAATACTTTGGTGGCTACTTCCAGGGCAAACAAGCCTTGTTCCTTCTTCCCCTTCGGCGTATAAACCCTCACTAACACCCCGTCGCTAGATTTATCCTCGACGTAGTCATATTCTCCAATGACTGCCGCTACCAGATACGTAGACATTATCGGAGTTTTTTCAAAAGTATATCTGGAAAAGAAAAACACCTCTCATTTAGTGTCACATCTACAAATGACCATTGAAATACTTGAATACTTGCCTTACAGCATCTCCTTTTGTCTCGCTATCTTTTACGGGCATATTAGACAAAGCTACCAAATCCTTTGGTACAGTTAGGCTGATATCGAATGTCGCTTTTAGGGCTGGCTCGTCCCAACAGGGAAAGCATCTTCGGGCATCAGTCGATTCGAACTGGGTTACTGCGGCATAGGTTTCTTCTCCTTTTTCATTGACATATTTGCTCCTGCAAAATGCAGAGAATTATAAATATTCATCCGTAACAAAGGTTCAGGGCCGCCAGGTAAATATTTTTCACTGTAACAACATTTTTTAAGGTATCTGGCAAAATTTTTCATAAGAGTACAAAAAACAGTTTAAAATAACATTGCAACAAATTTTCAGGGTAAATTTTTCTCATCGAAACAACAAGAGTAGCAATATTTTCTACATCAATTACTAATGATTCTTCAGAGACAGTACACAAAACACAGTTCTGATCAATGACCTGGATGACAGACCAAACTTTGTAGTCCATTTCCCTCATAATAACAGCTTAGACATAAAATTTGATCAAAAACTGGTGTCCGAGTTCGAAGATGAAGGTATTACAATTTTTAAAATTAGTTATTTGAAGCTGCAGTCTTCAGATCTGGATAGATCATTTGCGTATGAAACTTTTGTAGGTTCCTGATAGTTTTTTTTTTTATAAAAGTTTACAGTTAAAAGTCTAAAAACTGTGATAAACTAAAAGGATTTTTAATACTGACGCTAGGTGATAATCAGAATAAGTTGAAGTTTTGAAGCATAAATTCACTTTTATCTTAAATGAATGTGAATAAGATGAATAGATTCAACTTTTCTGTAATTATGTACCTTTAATTATTGAGAAATTACAGCAAAATTATTGACTTCACAGAGAAATTGTTTTATTGTCTTTTTTTGAGTAAAGTTTTACTTTGAACATTTAGATAAATTTAGATTTAGTAATTTTACAGAAGATGTGCAAAACTGACGTCACTATGCTTCAATACACTTTACGCATTTTGATTTTAAAAACTAAAAAAATTCCAAAAGATATCTAGAGAAATAATTCTTAGATAAGAAAATATTCTCAATTTGGACAAAAAATACGATACGTTCCCTCATTTTTGATACGCCACTGTGTTACACCATTTCAAGACGCATATTTCTCTACTCTATGTAACGCAAAGTTCAAAATTCACTAAATTTATGAATACAAAGAGTTATCAAGTTTATTTATCATTCTCTATAACCAGACCAAATTGTGTTAATAACAGTTATTATTTAATCTTTAACGTTTTTCTTGTGAAAGATATTAACGCTAATCCCCATTACAATACATGGTGAATTAAATGACTGCAACAAAGTTAATTAAGTGAGATATAGATTACAAAAGTTAAGCTGCAAAATATGTTTTGCCGATAACTTTTTCTGGAGCTCTACGGTTAGCAAACGCGCTTTACAAAATTTAATTGACTATCCCGTTTTCCTTTTTACGATTTCTCCTCTTAATGGGAATGATATAGGTACCTGAATCATCTCGGCTGTCGGTGTCATTGGGCCCGTTTGAAAGAAGACCAAGACAAAAAAATACAGTTACACAATAACATTTTACGGCGTACCCATAACGGTACACGGGCTTCGGGCGAGATACAATCTGTTCCCTACCTGTAGAGGCCTTTCATCTTATCGTTGATTTCGCCCTTGAAGGCGAGGTCCAAGTTGTAGGAACCCGGGGAGATCGGGGAGCCGAATTTGAATGTCGCCGTTTCATCCTCCGTGCTTAGTTTGGTTTCGGTTGGCGTCAACTTCTTATTGCCGTTCAGCGTTGCAGAGTCGATGGTTAAGTCTAGGGCGTTAAGTACGATTTCGTCAGTGGGTTTCACAACCTGAAACAAATAGAATACAATTGAGTTTAATTTTAGTAGGTACTCGTACTAACTGGACATGCCGGAAGCATGTTCCAATCGTTTTATAATTCAAACCCACAGTCAACAATGACTATTTTTGCTATATAAATAAGTTAAAACAACCTAGTTTAGTTTTCAAATGTATGAAATCAATAATTAGAACAAAGTTACATTAGTCTGAAAAAAAAAGAAAACACTGAAACATTTTGACTGGACCACATTTCTTCTAGTTCCTCTTCTTTTCAATTTTAAAACTTTTATATACCTGAACAACACGATACTGATTCGGTTATTTTGTCGAATCGATAAAAATGTCGAATAGTTTTCAATCTGCATGTTCAGAGAATAGATCGATTTAACTACTGTTTCGAATAAATTATCGTGCCGCACTAGAAATGACTTACTTTTTCCGATGGTTAATATAACCTTTAACTTGTCACGTGACACTGTTTAGTTTCCAATACGAATAGCATTAGAATTAGAAATATTCTCTTATTTTAACTCGTTTCTAAAAATAGGTACAGGACAACATTGATAGTTTGCGTTTTATTTATCACCAAATATTCACAACTTTCATAAAAATCTTTTATTTGCCGCAATAAACTATAATCAGTAACTCTGCGGAATTTTTAGAAAATCATCAATACTATTTATTACTGATAAAATTGATTGCTTAACGCAATAAAAATGGCTGCTATTTGTTGGGAAATTTGCACGAATGCGAGTTTAATTGGAATTTCAATTGAATACCTATTAAGTGCAAATTTTTTGAAAGATTTTTATTGCACAATATATATTTTATACAGAAATTTATGTCAAAACATCAAAGAGAAATACCTAGAAATGATTTATCTGGCCGATAAGAATTTAACAAAATAGTGAAGATATCGCATTTTATCATTCATATTTCGATTATTATGCAAGCTATTTCACCTTCATATTTTTAGGCAAATTACGTATTCCCCTTGGACTTAGCCCTAAATGTATATTACTATAATCAAGTGGTAGACTCGTATTACAAGTAATGTGTAAAACTTATAGGCTTCATTTGATCGCGCATAATATTAACATATTTTGTGATAAGTATTCCTGATACGGTACTAAATGAACTTAATCATAGTGGTTTGCGAATATTAAGCACCTTCATGGTTACAGTGTGGTTACAATATGAAGCTACGCGCATAAATGAAGGCCGATATTTATTGTTTACTCTCAAGTTCTGGTGGATCTAGAGCAAATAATAGTCATGTTCATCATATTCAAATTAAATGATATGCATTACAATGCAACCGACTAGAAGCACGTACTGTAAATGCGTCAAGTTTATAAAAAATACCTATTCGTGAAATTTTAATTGTAATAAAACCCACAACATATGTTTTAAAGTATTAAAAAAAGATGCCGGGACATTTAGGAATAAAAAAGTTGCATCTTCAATTTAGAGGAAACAAATAATATTTCATCTTTAATGGATGCGACAAATTAATTTATAAGCGTATTATAAACGGTATAATTTGAACAAATTAATGGTATTAATTTATTTTACTGAAAGTTCTAAGTAAATGTTCGAAAGTTTATGTATTTATTAACATCTTGTACCTAATTAATCAGGAGTTTTTCGTTATTTGATTCATTAAAATATACTGACTTGTTTAAATTTGTAAACATATAAAATTGTTGGTCGAAAGCATATTTAAAATTATTTAATAAATTACCACGCACCACAAAAGCATTTCGTGAGAGTTGGATATAAATTGGAGCTACACAATGAAACGCTGTATCTCAGTATACATCATAATCTTTTAATCAAACATTATACTAGTTACCAACAGCCTTTGAAATCCTTTTGGCATTTACCAATTATCGATCCAGTAAATTGGTCAAAAAATTGACCAAGTTTTATTGACACATGGAATTAAAAAGTGTGGCGAATTTAGAAGCTTCCGTAAAGTGGCCAAGTTTGAAGATTATTAATGTTATGTATCCAATAAATAGTAGCAATATTTACAATCTACCATTCTAATATTTACTTTAAACATTTGATAAGTAGGTTACATATTTGTTATTACAGTTGCGACATGCGACAGTCTGATAGATGTAATATGACTGGTGGTTCACTGTTATCACGAATAGTTTGTATTCTAAAAATTGGTAAATTAAATTTAAATTGTAACTAAAAATCGGCCAATTTATTATATGTGCCACAAATGTAGATAATTATGACGATTTCCTTTTTTTTGTAAGAGTTCATATAATTAAACACATTTCCATATATTTTGCTACAGCAATAGATACATCTAATTGTGTACTACAGTAGGACTTTCGAAATGCCAATTTTAGTTGAATTTGATGACAATTAAGATACGTTAATTCACAATTTTGATATAAATAATGAATTATAAAGGCGATGACTAAGAATTCTCTGTTTCATGTCAACATTCCTTAAATGAACACGCTTTGGTTATTTTCATAGATTATTACTTCAGATAATGACCGTAAAGCCGGATGCTATGCACAATAGAATTATGCCTATTTAGGAAAAAAAAGGCACTGCATTAAATAGAAAAAAAATCATGGGATAGACGACATAGTACTGTCACTACATAAGTATTGAATATTACAAAATGTAGTTGAGGATAGATGAAAATAATAAATTAATTGCACCAATTTCTAGTTACTATTAAAAGTGAGAACCACCACACCGATTACCTACTTGAAATAGATGCACTACTGTCACAATTTCTCGTAAAATGTAATTTTAAATTTTTCACCGATATTTCAATTACTTCAACTACTGGGAGAATAAATTAAAGTATTTACTAATGATTTATGAAAATAATTACAACCACACTTTTATTCTTGATTGAATGGTTTTTGAAATGTTTTTTATATAGGTTCAAAATTATTATAACAACTTGTCTCAACTGCTCTATTTTCAAAATTGGACAGGAAGACCAGATGGTTATTCCAAAATTTCGAAATTTTCTTATCTTAAAGTCGCTTCCATGACATTAACTCGAAGCGGCGTCGGTTTTACTGACCCTCTAAAATACAACACGCCGACATTGACGCAAGCAGGTGGTTCAAGTTGCAAGTGGCGGACCTGCTAGTTTGGTGTTCACTGACCTGTCTGTTTCCATCATATTAACCATTAAGTTATCAAATAAAAATCAAACATCTACATTAAGTGACTATATTGAATAACATCTCAATGAAAGATTCTCCAATTCGGTACTTTTGAATGTTAGAATTTCCAAAAGTTAAATATATGCCTGTTATGATGTGACGACAGATAAAGTTTATGGGTAAACAGTAAATGTTGTATCAGCGCTTGTATCGTTAACGTTATTTTCCCTAACTTATCCCAAGACTTTTGGAATAAATTTATTTCGAAATTAAATATCTAGATTAAATTGCTGCATCGGATGTAAAGAGCTTAAGATGGCCAAAGAAAAATAATTCCACGAATTATTATTAACTTCGGTGTACAGTATAAGCCAGTAATTAATTTATCACAAATATGTAAAATTGTTTGTTGTACCATTCGGTAAGCATAATCGCGAATAATTCATGATTTGGATTGTGATTTGCATTCGCTTATAACTTATAAATTTTATAGTAGGTATGTGACAATTACAAAAGCGATACACTAACAAAGTGGTCTATTTCAAATTGCTGGTCACTTAAAGCACGGAATATTTAAGGTACAGGAATCGTCGTTCGTCAGAGAATTAATTATTCGGTGAATATCATTAAAATGCAAATTTTCATTATTCCAATCGTAGATGGTTTCAAGGAATTTCAGCACACAATACGTCAATTACCGACACATTGTCCAACACCAGTAGCAGATTAGTATTTGTCGCATTTTGTCGATACATGAGAGTAAAATTCGCACAATAAGCTTTACAATAGTGCAAAATTAATAGTTATGTTTTTAAACAGAATTATACAAGCTCAGCTTGGTAATTTTTTGAGTCAAGACTAATTTTGCATTAATTACACCTGCACATAAATAAAAAAACTATAGTAGTCATGAATTGATGCACGACAGGCCAGTATCTTGTAAAATCTATCTAAAAAATTACTTTTTTGTTCTAACTAAATATGACCGAGTGATCCAGCCTATTGAAAAACAACTGCTACTCATTCATCAAGCACACTTTCCATTAATAATTCAATAATGATACGGTTGCGATTACATTAAGCACGCGCCTTCCTGGCACAGCCAAGTTGTTCATTACATGATGTCTAGACCACCATTGTTGACATTATACACCTATCAAGTTACCATATCAATCATCACCATAATTTTTTCAATTTCTGCTTCTTTAATATGCAAGACTTTCAATAACTGCACCGTAAATTTCGCTTATCTTTGGGACGTGATTATAAAAAAATGTATCTGGTTGCAGTTTGTGTTGAGTAAACTTTAAAATGAACCGTATCATAAAGCTCAGTACCAAACTGACGATAAGGAAAGGTAAAAATAACTAAAATTCACACATTATTTTTTGCAAACAATTTGTATTCCTAATTACAGTTGATGTAATTTTTTTTATATTTAGTGGAAGATATAAATGTGATTAAACAGTAAGTATACAGTGGCTATAAACTTTTAAATATAATTTAATAAAAATTCTGTTTGACGTAAATTATAATTATAATTTTTCTACAAAATTTCAGCGGTTTGAGCAATTGTTAGGTAAATTTACCAACATTTTTAATTGTTAGTAACTTTACAGAATATTTTTACACTTTGCAATGTAGCTGTAAAATTACATTTTACATGTTGTAATTATTGTATTTTTACTGTATTTATCCCCTTCAGCAATATGTAGGGATCATTTTTTCAGCATCTAAAACATACATTTACTGCAGTGAGGGAAAAACAGTACAAGAGAGTTAAGAACAAGAGGCTATACATATAGGTCACCAAGACCGAAAGTGAAACATATTCGTCACAATCGGAAGCGTAT